GGTCAAGTTGACCTAAATGCTCAGGCCGGCCATCTCTAGTTGAGTGGCTGCCAGCAGCCCTGGCAGAGCGACGATCGTGGGATAGCAGTCCTCCAGGTCGCGGGCTGCTGCAAGCGTTTACTCTGAGTCGCTCGAGCGGACCTGCAATCGAGCGATGAGACTTGCAGTGCGCGTCCACAAGATGGACGACGGGCTTGCCAGAGCGCGCGCGTCCACCACGCCTTGGCAGGTTTGCCCCGCGAGCGCCGCAACCTTTGACTTCGTCGTCGGCATCTCCACTCAGACGCTGGTAGCTGGAGTCGCTGTGCAGGTCGACCTCGCCCGATGGAGCCACCGCTTGATAGGCGGCGATCTACTTGGGGCAGGCCTGCGACTTCCTGGCAATCGCGCTTGGTCGTCGCACTTGCATGCGGGTCGGTTCTTGGGCGCGCTGCAGTAATGCAGCACGTGCCAGCGACCGTGCCTGCGTGATATGGGCGTAGGCCAAAGCGCCTCTGAGGCTGACAAACATGTCGGCAACCATCCTCGAAGCCTTGGCCCCGGCATCTGCGCCCGTGAGTTCGCGACCGCGACGGAGCCCGTCGCCGCCCTTTGCGCATCTCGCGGCGCAACTGGTATATGCGTGTTCGTTGAGCTTGCAACTACAAAAAGTATACTCAACACACTTGGCGAACAGGTCGACAGCGTCCTCGGTGCCGGCCATGCTTCTGTCATCGAGATGCTTGTCCACAAGACGTTTGGAGCTTGTCTCGAACTCCTCGTCGCGAGACGCGGGTTAAGACCAGACCCTCTCGTGGTCTTCGCGAGCTTCACTGAGAAGGCTCTTGGTACATCCTTGGTACCGGCGCCTGGTTTGAGGCACTGCAAGCAGTGTCTAGACTCGTCATAGCGCTCGAATCCTGGGGGGGGATCGGAGCACAGATGCTGGGCCAGGTGGCAATGCGAAGCACGCCGCGCGTTCCTTTCCACCGATTGCACCAGCAAGCTCTTGATAAGTAAGCCCCTTCTGGGAAGCCGCGTCGATGTCGAGGGGCGCAATGACCCGCTGCTTCCTGCACGCTGCCGCGCTGGCGAGTAGTCGCTGAGTTGGCCGCCCCGCCGGTCCTGGGGGCGCTGCCACGTCGAAGGCTTCGAGGCCCATGATGCCCCGAATTGTCAGGCGCAGTCTGATGGAACGTTGCATCTCGCTTTTTTCATTCTTGACAAACTTCCATTCCTAGACGCACCTTGAAGTCATGATGTTTGGCACGTTGGGCACATCTGGTATTTTGATGCGCTGCTTGCCAAACCATGTCTTGAGTTCAGTGTATAGGGGCTTCGATACTTTGACTGGATTTGCCTGGATATCCGAATTCGTGAGAAAGTCGTTCTGCTTGACGACTGAAGCTCGTGTAGCCGCAGCGGTCACATATACTCGCAATGGTCACGCGGTCAAAAGACAGTGGCATGTGCTGTTGTTCTTAAAAGACAACCTTTCACATTTCGGCCGTTAAGCAGAGTTCTACGCATCGGCCGTGCTCGTCAGAGTTCAATCCGCAGCTTTCATCTTCGTCCGTGGAACAAGCGGACATGATATGTCTCGGTTGCGTCTATGTCCTGCGGGTTCCCCCACGTAGGCAGGCGCCCCCGCTGTTCTTCAGCTACTGTGGCCAGCGCGCTGCAGTCAGTGATCGTCTGTGCGGGTATAGAACGCTCGTCTATTGGAGTCGCCTCCAACAGTTTCTTCTCGTCTTGTAGTTCTGCGCGCCGCACTTCCATAGCGTGTGCCTCGGGGGCCGCCACTGATTCCTCATGGGTGGCGGGGCGCCGCCCGTCTCCCTGCGATGGTTCGATTTCTGGCACCTCCCGGCGACGTTGCCTTGCATTGGCATGCCGGCCAGTTCTTTGAACTTCGCCATGAGTTGGTCGAAGACCGATTGAGTTTTAGTGCGCTTCAGGCACTGCATGTTTCTTAAGTGTCCAGATCCTATCAGAGAGGTAGGCGTTGTGAAATGGTTTGTGCCAAGTAGCAGTTGTAAGCCACTCTGAGCAGCAGCGCTGTTTTTCACATGCCAAATCTGGACCAACAGCTCTGTCTGCCTTGAGGATCCCCGTCGAGTCGCATTTCTCGGACAGATGCGTGAGCGCCGAGCGCCTGCGCGGGATATTGCGTGCAACCTGACGAGAGCGAGCGCCCTGCTCGGCAATGATGGCAGCACCCTCGATGTCGCACCCCACCACGATGCATCGATCAGACCCGTCATCAATACGGGGGTGACATGATGAGTTGATCTCCGTGCGCCTCGCGGTGCGTATACTTTCCCAATACTGTTGGCAGTCAGCAGGCATTTCAAGAGGAAAAGCAGGTTGCCCCGCGGAGCTCTGATCTTGCTCATCAGTCCGTTCTAAAGACTCGGCTGCTGCCGATGCTGCAGGTGCGCGGGCACCTACCGATGATGAGGCCGCGCCTGCGGATCCTCTGGGCGCCCGATGGGGTCCTTTTGAGGGGCGCTGATGTCTA